ACCCAAGGAAACTTAAGGGTTCACTCCAAGCCCAGACTCCATCCCCCTCCCAGCTGGCACTTGGAGGAAGTGAGAGACTTCTCCCTGCCATCAGGCCACCACAACAGAAAGCAACCAACGAACGCTGTGCCCACTCATTAGGAGAAAGCAGAGACAGGGCCTCATGCTAGAGCAGCACCAACTGATGCCAGACCCACGCAGCTCATCTGACCCAAAACACTGTAGAGCCTTCCCAGACAACATGTGCCAGGCAGGGAGGTGGTGACGTCCTTATAGCAAAAGGACGGGGGTGGGAGTCAGGACTCTGGGTTCTATTCCTACTTTCACCAGACTCCTCCACTTGTCCTCAGGCAAGCCACTCTCCCACTGCTGCCACTAATTATACTTACCCACCTCACAGCACATGCTGTAAAGATTGATCTAATGATTGTGATCCCCCGCCACACACACAATGCTGGGATTCCCTACAAAGGGCTAAGGATGAGAGACAAACATAGGGTCAGCAAAAAAAAAAAAAAAAAAAAAGTAGGGACTCAGTTCAGCTGACAGTAGGAGGTGGCAGTCAGCAGCAGGGAAGGGGTTAAAGGCACATATTAGAAGTTCTTATCCTACAGCAACTCACTAGCTGTTTTTGATTGTAGAAGCAATCCAGCCTTGAGCAGGAATCCCCCACACACTATTCCCAGCATAGAGAATACATGGGGAGTTCTAGCCTAGGAAGTGACCTCACCAAATTAGTGAAAATACCTCATGCTAAGAACTTCCCCTCTGCATAAAATTCCACCATTTACAAAGCTTCCCCCCCTCTCCCATTCCAAATTAGGACAAAAAAGCTGAAATTGCAAAGTTTCCCACAAAATAGAAGTTTGATTCAGGACCATCAACCTGTGATTCAGCTCAAAAGTGAAAGGACTTTTTGACTAGTATGAACACAATACACATACTGTATTGCCTGTTGAAAATTACAATAGAATCTATTTAAAATATTAAAGTCTAAACCCAATCAATTAGAATATGGGAGTCTCAATGAGTTTGACTCTCCCCCCATCCCAACAGTTGGTGAAACTGACATTTCCACAAAGCATTTTGATTAACCTGCACTTGCATGGAAACCCTGAGAACATGTGAACTGTCTGCTCCCAATCAGATGGCCAAGAGGGGCAAGATCATGCTCTCCCATCTTCCTCCCCTCTCTAGGCCTGCGCCCACCCGAGACTCCCAGTGGGTGCAGTACAATCAGGCCCTTTTATTTTTAATGGGAGGGCCCAATCCTGGATTCTACCCTCCCTCAGTTGAAAAGCCCCCACTGAGTCAGAGTGGGCCTCTAAACCCTGCCAAGTGCTGCATATCCCCTACCCCCAGTTGTTCAGGGCTGCTGGTGTCAAACTCCCCCCCCACTTAATATCCAGCCCTAAAGCCATAATTCCCTGCAGACAAATGGCTGCTGCATTTCAGCAGCAGATAGTACAAAGACCCTTCCAGCTGAACTCCAGCATCTATGGCTGCATGCCAAGGATGGCAGGACTCAGATCCTGCAGCTCTTAAAGGAGTAAGCTTTGACCAGGAGTCTCCACTCTCTTGGATACTGGCTGTACAGGGCTTTTGGAACAGCTGTGCAGTATCCATTCCACTCAGCAGAGGGCAGCAGCATCCCACCCTTCCTCCCTTTACTGTATTCCATGCAGCAGGATCCAGTCTCCTTACATGCTGCCTCCACCCACTATATGTTCCTACATTCCACCCAGCAAAGGGCAGCTGCATTTTACCCCTCCCACCCACAGAATTCACCAAGAGTCTCAACACTGGTGCCACTGCCCCCCCCAGCCCATTCCTTCCCAGCAGTAGCCCTGCAAGCAAGCTTCTCCCTCTCTGCCATGCTGCCGGGACACGCCGCCCCCCACATTGCATGTAGACTCTCACCTTAAGTAGGAATCCATCCTTTCCCTCTGACAGAGGGACTGCCCCCACTGCATAGCAGCCCCTCCTCCCCACCACCTGTTGGAATGGACAATTGGTAACAATAGGAGCTGGATGTTGAGAAGGGATCAACACTCTGGGACCAGGACAGCCCACTGAGGAGGATGCAGAACAGGTCTCAGGAAAATCCCATCCCCTCCACCAGCTGGGAAGGGAGGGAAGCTGTGGGAAAGGAAGGGTATGGGCATGTGTACACAGGCACTTGATCACACCAGGAAGTAGGAAGATGCCCTGGCACAAGCCCTGAAGGTCCGGAGCATCAGCAGCTTCCTCCTATAGACAGGCTCAACAGCTGTTTGGTTGCAAACAGACACTGCCCAAAGTCTGTCCCTTCCCAAACAACCCAAGCTCCTGCACTCCTACCCCTCAACCCCACAGCTATGCCAGAGCCTGCTCCTCAACAGCTCCTGCTCATCTGATCAGGTTTCCCCACACTTCAATTCTTCCCTCCAGCTCTGTGCTGTATGCCCTTCCTCACTCCCCTTACTGCTCTCACCCAGTGGAATCGTCACCCCATTACAGGGGCTGGAACATGGTACAACAGCTGCATCCAGGAGCAGAGTTAACTGTGCTTAAGGAGGGATACACATTTCCCCATGGGGTACATTGCACTAGGGAGAGACAAGGTAGCCTTGTGGTTAAAGGCCCTGGACTGGCAGGCCAGATATCTTGGTTCAAAAATCTCAGCTTCCCTCAGGCAAGTCTGGCTCTGTTTCCCCATCTGTAAAGTGGATGAAGTGGAATAATCCTCCTTCCTTAGACTGCAAGCAGCATCTCAGCAGTTAGGGTATCAGACTCTGGACACATGGGTTCTATTCCCAGTTCTGCCATTGATTTTAGTGGAGTCCCTTCTCCCGCTCACCCTATCCCAACTTTCTAGCTGGTAAACTAAGCCAAGTGGTAGCTGACCCTATTTCTCTTTACAGGGAGCAATACACAGGCCACCTCTCCCTCCACCAACAGAAACCATGTAATGTTAGGGCCACCTCCCACATGTGGGTCCATGGTCAAGTTTAGGCTGGTGTTTTGGGCCTGCACTGAAGAGCAGTTCCCCAGCTCGGGAGATGCTCCTGCAGGAGCCCCATGTTGGTAGAAGCTCTTGCCAGCACAGGTCCATCTGTTAGAAAGCTCAGAAGCCACCTCCCCTAGCATTTCCCAGGACAGGACGCAGACTCAGGAGCTGCAGATCTTGCCAATACATTTTAATGTTTCAAAAAGATTTAGACAGGCTTAAACAGAGTGCACTTCCCCAGGCCTGTGCATCAGAAGAGGGGAGGCCCTTCCCTAGGCACCCCCCCCCCCCATTGAGAACTGCTTCATTGTACAGGAGGAAAATTAATATACATAGTTAACAGATGTTGGAGCACAGTCCTTAAGTCTGACACTCCCTTGGCACAGGAGTCCACATGGAGAAGCCCAGGAAGCTGGGAACATTCTAGCCAGTTACCTGAAGTATCAGAGCTTTAGTCTCTTGACTGTCACATGGACTCAGCCAGAAATACTGGGCCCCCTTCCTCCTCCCCTGGCAACCTGATACCAAAAAGCTTTTGATTCTCCATCAGTGGAGTCAGCCCACAAACAAGTACATACTGAGCAGAGTCAGGCTGTTAAGTAGCTGATAGGGAACCCTGGGCAAAGCATTTTTAGCTGCTTGCCTGTGAAAGCACTAAGAAACCCACCTAACCATGTTGCCTCCACTCCAACAGTCACAAGAATAAGGCACATCTCTTAGAGTGTTCCACTTTAACCATCCCCATCTCACAGCCTGGCAGGAGATGCTGTGGCAAACCCTTTAGGACTCTTCCAGCACTGTGCTAACGCTGCTTCACAGGAAGCTCTGCCTCTTGAAGGTTTGAGAACAGCCTAAATTGGGTGCCCAATCCCAGAAGGATTCAGTGCACTTAACTGTAGGTGCCCCTAAAGGCTGCAGTCTCTGGACTAGGTCCTCAATCAATGTTGATACAGAGAATGGTTAAAATTGCAAGCAGTTGAGTTGTTTGAGGGCTGCTGGCAGGGCCCTGAAGTTGACAGAGAAGGCCAAAAAACTCAGGCAACTTAAGGAACTGCAATCACAGCCTGTGCAGCAGTGAATCAGGAAGATGGCCACCCTTTCCCCACAAGTTCTTTGCTAACAGTTCCAGATCTAGTGCTGGAGGTTGACAAAGACAGGCTGAGTTTAGTGATAGTCACTAGCATCAGACTGGAGCACGCTACCAGAGTAACTGTCTTTACCCCACCTCGTGTTTAATTCCAAGGCTTCTCAGGATAAATATTTCTAGACAGACAAGAGTTAGAAGTGAACACCTGACCATGTGATGCAGTGCAAAGTGTGTCAGTTACACAGGGTGAGGATTAACAGGCTCAGATTAGGCAATACCTTGCACATCACTTAGACGAGGGCAAAACCAGAGGGAATAGTCTGCACTGGAGCAACTGATGAGAAGGCTTGGAACAGTGAGGTATCAGACCTGTGGCATTTTAAGGAAGAGGCAGCCTCTGGAATAGACTATCTTCCTGTTTGAGAAATTCAGGCTTCCCAGAACTGAGATGTGGATTGTGAAATTGACAAGAAGTCAGCAAAGGAGGTGTCTAAAAGGAAGTGAGGGCTCTGAGAGGGATTCAAAGCAAGTATGACTTGCTGTCTTCTGTAAGAGGAGTCCAGGAGTGAAAGGCACAACAAGCAGCACCAGGGTTCCCCCACCAAAGAGGTCTGTCCATTTTCCTTTAAGAACCCCTCTCCAATTTTAACTAGTCTACATTTTTGGTAGCTAGAGCCAAGTGTAATTAACACTCATTTACTTGTGAACATTTCTGTATGGGGAGACCAGGAAGCCCTGGAGAAATGACCCAACTTTATCTTAAAACCAACCACCTGGGTCATTAGCATAAAAACTGCTCTGTACATTGGGGAAAGTCAGCTGAGAACTGAACTGATGTGTTTGGACCACGTTCCAAAGAGAATTAGAAATGCTTCACCACTACGGGAAGTTACAGTGCCTGCTCCCCCAGGAAAAAAAAAAAAAAAAAAAGACAGCTGGGGAAAACAGTTGTGCCATCCCAGCACAAGGGTAAAGCCGATTCCATTGTGAACAGTTCTCCCAGGCAGGGGGATTGAACTGATGTTTGCAGCTCAGCCATGCTGCCCTGCCACAAGGAGCCGTTCATTCAACACCTTAGGAAGACAAACCAGTTGCATTAGCAGCTCCTGGAGCAGCACCCCAAATGACAGAAGGGGAACAAATGTGGCCTTGAATATATTAAAAATATTCTTGTGCACAATACGACATGTATGAGGGTTTCATTCAGGTCTTATCACTCCCATAGATGGGAGCATTTGGAAGGAAGGTGTAAGTCCAGTGCCTTTCGAAGCAAAATTCAAACTGTCCACCAGCTCTCAGGGGTTGTGGATCTTTAGCAGAGTTAGAGGTTGAAATCCAGGCATCTGGCTGCCCATCCCCCCCTCCCCCCTTAAAGGATGCTGGGGAGTCATTCATGTCTGCGTTTGGAGGGGGGCACAAGATGAGGGGGCAGTTCTGCAGGCAGCTCATGCCCTTCTAGCTTCACCTTGATCAAGTGGTTGGCCAGGGCAAACTCCTCGTCATCTAAGAATCCATCTTTGTCCACGTCAGCCAGTTTCCAGATCTTGCCCAGGACAGTGTTGGGCAACTTGGATTTCACCATCTCCTTCTTGGCACTGGCACCTGTGATCTTGCCATTGACAGGTGAGAGGGTGTAGAAGATCTCATCATAGCTGGGCTTGTCCTTTCCTACCACCCACTCAATGTCATCAATGCCCTCACCAGCCCCCTCCCCATAGCCATGGCCAAAGGGCCCATTCATAGTGCCCTCAAAGGCCCCGCCCTTCACCGCCTGGGTGGGCATCTGAGACTCTTCCTGCCGCACCATCACCATGAGCCGGGCAATGTCATTGGCCAGCATGTCGTCCACTGCGTCCAGCAGCTTGGGCTTCAGGAGCTGGAACTTGCTGAAGTCTTGGCTCAGCAGGAGCTCCTGGGAAAGATGGCAGAGATCAGCATTCAGGGTGGTCTTTGGCACTTGGGAGCAGGCTGCTCCCCTATCCTACCCAATAGGCAGCAACTCCAACTCACCCATCAATGCCCACATTTCCCTGCCCCCATTCAGCCATGCCCAGCTGTCCCCCCAATCCCATCCATCCTTGAATCAGGCTGAAATACACCCCCATATGCCCCTAAACCAGGCCATCCCCAACCCATCCCCAGTGCCCACCTTGAGCTGCACCCACTCAAGCCATCTGTCCCCTCCTGGACCACTCCCCCAGCCCCTGGATACAACCCTCATCCCAGACACCCAGGCCTTAGACTTTATAAGTGGTATGTGAAGCACTGTCTGCAGCCACCTATGGAATGGAGGACAGCTTCCAAGTTGCACACTGCACCATGGGGAATGGGAAGTTACTGTCAAGGGCATATGGGGAAAGAAACCTTATTCCTAAGCAAGAAGCCAGGGACTCTCCACATCTATGGAAAGCTGGCAACTTGTTTGGGTCTCCCCAAGAACAGTCCATGGTGTGACCTGCATGGAGGCCTGTTCACCTTCCTTAGGGAGTGGGGTTTAAGTCATCCCAGACAGGGGATTAGCCTATTTTTCCAGGAAGTATTTTAGATGCAGGGAATCCCAAATCCCAGCACCTCTTGCTCTAACCCACTAGACCCCACTCTTCCCAGCACTGGGGACAGAACTCAGGAGTTTTGGCTCCAGGCACCCCATGCTCTTCCCATGAGAATACATTTCCTTTCAGATTAGCCCTGCTCTCAGGAGCCCTAGTCCTGGAGGACAAGAGCACTTTCCCTCCAGGCTACCATAGAAGCCCAGCCACTGCCTTGTACCAGTGCTATGCTGGATTTAACAGTGGCATGGAGGGAATCTCTTGCCCTGCCTTAAACATGAAGTCTTGGCCAAACTCTGAGCTGGAATCACAAAGTCACCTGTGCAGCAGCAGGAGGACCAGGTAAGACAGGGATGGTCCTAATCATCCATAGTGGGGGGGTGGGGCGGCACTAATGGAATTCACTTCCATGCCAGAGGCTAGCCAGATAAGGCCACCAGCAAACAGGAGTCTCTGGGGCATGCGAGAACTTGACCTTAGCTAACATCAGGTGCATCAGTGACTGGGCCTAAATGTCTGATGAAAATTCCTATCAGGATGGCTCAAGGCCCCCCATGTAAACTGCATTTCAGGCCCCACGGCATGACTTCACACCTGCATCTTGCGCAGATTGGGGAAGTCCCCAGGTGAAATCTGATGCTCCCGCTCAATCTTCAAGTAGATCTCGCCCAGGTTGTTCACCAGCTCCTTCTTTCTGCTCTCCTTCCCAAAGACATTGGGCATCTCCTTCTTCAGAGAGCTGATTATGTAGGCATGGACCTAGGGAAAGGAAGAGATGAGCTATGATGCTTGGTTGACAGCATAATGTTCCCACTTCCCCTGCCCTAATACAGACCCCCAATTCCTTCCTAGAGCAGGAAGTAGAATCCAGGCATCCTTGCTCCCAGCCTTACCGCTGCTCTAACTCACTTGACCACACTCCTCTCAGTGCCAGGAATAGAGCCTATGAGTTTTGACTCCCAGTGAGATGCCCTATTCACGCCACAAAACCCATGACTCAATCTCAAAGGTAGTTCCATACATGGGGCAAGTAGCTTTATCCTCACTTTAGCAAGGGGAAACTGAGGTACAGGGGTGGGGAAGGGTCACCCAACAGGGCAGGAACAGAATCACCTAACAGAACCTCCATCAGGTGCTGGGGAAGGAAACTTGATGGATCTAAAGAAGTCAGAAAGGGTGAGGAATTTTGGAGAAGACAGATTATGGAGTAAATTTTTGAGTAAAAGAGGGGGGAATGTAACATGTCTCACGGAGGTAGAAAATGTTTGGAGGATTCTCTTGTTAAACTCTTGCCAGTATATCAGTAGATACAATAAGATCCTTAGTCACTGCCATAAGGCTTTACATATCACTTACCTTCCTGCTTTCAGATGTCCCCTTCCTTTACTGTGTTAAAAAGCAAAGCTCCCATTGTTGGGCCCAGTCATGCAGGCCCTTGTGGTGTGGGGAACTTCCATTGATTTTGATTTTAACACAGGGAGGGTTTGTAGCATGCTTCTTGTTTGTTACTTGCATATGCGTCTTACAAAAAAGAAACTCAATATGTTCATGGAGGATAGGTCCATCAATGGCTACTAGCCAGGATGGGCAGGGATGGTGTCCCTAGCCTCTGTTTGCCAGAAGCTGGGCATGGATCACTTGACTACCTGTTCTGTTCATTTCCCCTGGGGCATGTGGCATTGGCCACTGTTGGAAGACAGGCTACTGGGCTAGATGGACCTTTGGTCTGACCCAGTATAGCTGTTCTTATGTACCCACCAGGGACCACTGCCTCAGATCCCAGCCTGTGGGGAAGCTTAGCCACAGACTGTTGGTCCCCCTCACTCCTGACCTGCAGTGGCAGTGGCTTTGCTTCCCAGCCTCTTGCTCAACATTCCCCATGAAATCCTCCATCTCTATTTAGATATGGGCATTTGAGCATCACAATGGATTTTATCCTCACTACTGAAGTACAGAAGGATTCTCCCCATTTTACAGGTGGGGAACTGGGCAAGTCTCTTCCCTCTGGGCCTCAACATCAGAGCCGGACTTGAACCCAGGTCTCCTAAGTGACAGGTTAGACCTAGTAATTCATTCCCCATGGAACACCAAGTGGGCTTAACTGGCACTAGCCTAGGGATCAAGTTTAAAAGCATCTAAGTTCCTTAAACCCCACTGACTTTCACTGAGACTTCAGTTCCTGAGGCACTCTGATAGTTTTATCCTAAGACTGAATGGGTGATAATGGCCTATGGAGCAGTCATCAGGCCCAAGCCATCAGATATTAAGGTCAGAAGACCCTTGATCTAGCCCAGCCTCTTGCATAAAAGGCCAGACAAAAAGGATGGTTTAATAGTTAGAGCACTAACCTAGGACTTGAGACCGCATTGAGTCTTACCTTGGAGAAGCCACTTTACTGCTCTGATTCAATTTTCCCACCTATAAAATGGGGATAAGTCATACTGGCTCCAGGATGCCACAGGTATATTTAGAATTGTAAGGCACTAAAATAGAGAGAACTTCACCTAGCTATATGGAGCCCATAATTTGTTTGAAGCTATGGAGTTGTTTGGAGCAACATGCAGTCCATTAAGACGCCACTTAATGGAGAACCCACCACATTCCTTGTGGAGTTCTTGCAACAGTCACCCTCACTGGGAAACATTTGCACCTTTCCAGTTTGAATGTCTTGCTTCATCTCATTCAGCCTTTTGCTTGACTGAAGAGCCACCTACTATCAGAAATTTCTTCCTCATGTAGGGCCTTGAAGACTGACAAGTCACCTCTTCGCCCAGGTCTACTGACTGCTGCCACTGTAGCTATGTTGGCAAATCACACCTGTTCTACACAGCTATACTGACCTGCCACCTCATTAGCAGGTTGGTGTGAGCTGCACCTATGCTAAGTGCCAAACAGTGTTACCAGTGTAGCCCATTTTGTGCAGAAGGGCTGGAATGAGCTATACCAACAAGAGCAGTTTTCCCAGTATAGCTGAATGCATACTGGTAGTGCTTAGCCAGTGCAGTAGACCGGTATTCCTATAGTGCTTTGAGTGTAGGACCTGCTTTAGTCTCTGAAGAGTCCTGCTAAGCCAGCAAGACTTGCTCAGGCACATTTCCTGGATTCATTTTTGAGATCTGCTCAAACTTCTCTGCTTTTAGCGCAGCAGTGATTTCAAAGCCTTCTTCCATCTGCAAGGCATGCTGGGATCACAAGGACCTTGGAAGGGTTGGAATGCTTATCAGGTGAAACTGGATTCTTGCCCTTTGGAGGCACAATTCATTTAATGGTAAGATGTCCTCCCCCTTCCCCACATGTTGCTGCACTGGTGGCTTTTATGCCTGCAGTGGTTGTGTGGCAGGACAAGGATGGAGTTTCTGTTGTGGAAATGCTATCCTGCCTGGGGCAGTCTGTCAAACCAGTGCTATTTGGATCAGAGTATAAAAATGACTGAATCCTAAGAGTCAAGTTAGGGGGGAGGGATCAACTTGCAAGTTAGTCACATGCCAGACAGCCTCTCAAACTGCTTTCAAGCCAAGTCGACTAAGCTGGGCAGTCTCTTCCCCTCCCACAAAGTCAGTGGCACAGCCAGGCATTTAACCCAAGTCTTCTGACTCCCACTTGGTACCTTAGTCACTAGCCCACATTGCATCCCAAAGCATCATTTCAGGTGGCTAGTGTACATAGACTTGCTTTGAGGGGTGTAGCCTGGCATGACAGGATTAGACATTCAGTGTAAAGCTTCCCCTCCTGAACTGGTGAGTCTACTGAGAGTAGATGGGGAAATGGCAATCTAAGTGAAATGTCTGCGTCAGTGTCTGAGAGAACAGGTGTGTGCTGGGCATCTCACCTGGTCACTTGAACTAATTAACTCTACAGGGAGAGTTATTACAAACTAGTATCCAAGAAAGATGAATCCAAACTGAAACAGATGCAGAGGAGGACTCTTAGGCTGATCAGGGGAATGAAGAGCAGATCTTACAAAAGGAGGAGACAAAGAGCTGTGCTTGTTTAGCCTTTGAAAAACAAAGGCTGATTGCTCTCTCTAAATACATTTGGTGGTAAACCCCAGGGAGGGAAGAGAGCTATAGAAGCTCAAAGACAATATTGGCACAAGAACAAAGAACAGAAACTGACCAGGAATCCACTGAGGCTGGAAATAAGGAAGGAGATTCTGGAACAGCCTCCCAGTAGGAATAGTAGGGATCAGACAACCTAACTAGTTTGGAGCTGGATCAGTTTGACCAGGATGGGACTACAGCTGCCCACAATAGCAGGGACTGGATAGCCATGACCCAGGTGGTCCCTTCCATTTATGTTCCTATACATCTCTGCTGACTTACATTAAGTTACAGCATGTTTTAAGTACTACAGTCATGGACACAGAACAAGAATTTGATCTGTTAGACTAATCAGAGTTAGGGTTTGAAATTGCACTGATTTTAGAAGGCTGAAATCAAGCAGCAGTTTGGATCTTTGAGAAGCCTAGTGCCAGCTCTGGGTTCAGGAGCTATTTCTGACCCATGTCAATGCTGAACCTTATGATTTCTCTGAAGCAATCAAGGTTTTTACAGCTCCTTCCAGCCAGTTCAAAGAGAAACTGAAAACAGAGCCATAAAAACAGCTGTGTTTCCATAAAGAGCTGCACTTCTCCACCCAGGTTTCGTTTAGCTAGCTAGGCTTATCTGCAAGCAAATAGCTTATCTGCAAGAGTGATGCCTTAAATAGATAATGCCCAGAACAGCGCAGAGTCCTCTGCAAGGTAAAGAGTTTAAAGCCACTGGGATTTAAGGTGGAATTTCCTCAGCATGGCTCAGAAATTTCCATAATCTTTCTCAAAACTTTCCAGCAAAGGATGTTAATCTGAGGGGTTTCCCTACTGTAAAATGCAGCTGTCAGTTAGTAGGCTGTGGCAGAGCCAGGAATAGAACCCAGAATTTCCCTATTCGATCTTATCACAAAACCCATACTTCTGGGACTAGTGTGCCATTAGTTTGAATGGAGTGGTGAGAACAAACCACTGCAGGTTAGCAGGCAGTACAAGCTATGCCTCACCTACTCTTGGATTGGAGCCATGGCTGTTATTGTACTAGGAGCTTGCACTAAATGCCAGATACTATCTGCACCAGTGCAGCATCTACATTAGGGGGTTGTATTGACACAGCTAAAGCAGTGGAAACATGGATTGGGAGTCAGGACTCCTAGGTTCTCTTCCAGCTCTGGGGGGACATGTGGTCTAGTGGGTTAGAGCAGGGAGCTGGAGACAGCACTGGTGGTTGCTATTCCCAGGGCTACTGTTAAACTGCTATGCAACCTTGAGTGAGCCCCTACCCCTCTTGGTGTCTCTTCCCACCCTGTGGATATCCAGGCTGAGCTCTGTGGAGCAGTTATTGTCTCATTAGGGCTCTCTGCAGTGAATAGTGTAATGTCTCCCCCTCCCCCATCTTTGCTAGGGACTCTGATCTCAATCTGGGAGGGGGGGGAGAGGTGCCTGCAGACACCTGGCACATCCCTGCACTTGGTCAGGGGAACTCTGAAATGCTGCATTAATGCTAGTGAAGTATCACCCTCGTTCAGAGAAGGCTTCATCTAGACCGAATCCCACCCATGTAGCAGTGTCTGTGGCTCACTAGAGGGAATGCTTGGGACACCGTACCTTGGCTAGCCTGGCTCTCTTGATGAGGTCATTGAGCTTGCGGAGTGCAGCATTCCTGGGGAGGGACTGGATATCTTTGAAGAGATCCTGCTCTTCTGCTTCAAAGAGCTTCCTGTTCTCAGGGATGAGGAGTGGCTGGGACCAGAAGGAGCCAATGTAGACCCGCACCACCTCTGGGGTGTTTATGATCTTCCCCAGTGACCACATGAGGGCACCGTAGACCCGCATCAGCTGTTGTGTCTCAATCTGGTCGGCTTTGTTCAGCACCACCCGGATCTTGTCCTCGTGGTTCTTCAGGGCCTTGATCACTTCTGAAAACTCATCTGAGATGTCCAGCTTGTGAGCATCGAAGAGGAGGATAATACGGTCCACACGCTCTGCGAACCACTCCAGTACCGCTGCAAAGTCATAACCTGCAAGAGAGGGATGTTTTTACACAAGGACTGCAGCTAAGGCAGCGGCCTGAGAGGACAGCATCAACTTGGGACTCTGGATCTACACTCCCAGCCCTGTCACTGACCCTGACAAATCATTGCCCCCCATGCCTCAGTTTCCTCTCACATCTTGGTCTTATTTGTGTTGGGGTTGCACCTAGGAGCCCCAACACCAGCCATGGAACAGAAGTTGTGCTATGCACTACACAAACTGCCTCAGAGAACTTCCAATCAAAGTCATTTATTAGATTGCACACTTTGGATCAGGGACTGAATTGTGCCCACCACCTAGCACAACAGGATCAGATGAACTACCACCAGTCAGTGCAAGCTATATTACACATCCAGGAAACTGAATGTTCCAGAACCCCAACATATGCCACAGGATTAGATAGGTGAAGTGTTGATGCTGAGCTCTCCACACACTATTTTCCCAAGCTTAGATCTCAAAGATCTTCAGAAAGATCTCATTACCCCTGGTTTAAAGATAAGGGAAAGTTTAAGGCCAGAAGGGACTATCATATCATCTAGTCTGGCCTCCTCTCTATCAGGAGATTCAGTTTCACCAGATACCCCTATACCAGACCGAACAATTGAGTTAAACCAAAGCATTTCAGCCCTCAGGAGATGAACCTGTTGTGAGCCCCAGTCAGAAAACAAGAGGAAACCAAAGGGCTGTCAATGCCAGAGGCCCCTGCAATGGCAGGGAATTGCTGCAGTGAGACACCTAGTGATATCAGCAGATGACCCATGCTGCAGAAGGCAACTTCTGCCTGCACAAGGCCCACCCCTCCCCCCATTTCTGCAAATCTGACCTGGAAGGGAGGAAAGTGTCTTGTCCCAGGATCAACCAGCAGGCCAGTGGCCAACCTAGGAATAAAGCTCTTTGGAGCAGGAACTGTGTTGACAGGGTCTGGTCCATGATTGGGGCTCCTACACATTACAGATCTCCCAAGTCCCAGGCCTGTGCTTTGGCCACTAGGCTGTTAGTGTCAGCAGAAATAGTGGTTACCACAGGAATGACTGAGCATTCTCCACATTCCTGAGACTGAAAACCCTCCTGGAACTGCAAACCCCATGCGAGTGAGTCTGCAATCAGACTCTGTAGCAGGAGCATGGCCTGCTACTTTAACTTCTAGTAATGCTGGAGATAGTGCTGTACAGCTGCTACCTGCAGTAGCAGATGCACTCCAGTCTAAGAAATCTTGCTTCCAGCAGTGCAGTGCCATGTGAACACAGGATGCCCCAAGCAGATATGCAAGTTACACAAGAATTGCTTAGCGCAAAGTGCTGCCACCTCTGGAGTGAAGGCACTGAACAGCACCCAGCAACACTATGCAAACATATCCCACACACTGCAAGGGAGGGATTTTTGTAAAGGTTGATGTAGTTACTGAAGTTAGGATCTTGCTAGGACAACAAACTTAACACCCTACAATTGTCTTCACAAAAGGATTGTCTCCCATTTGTGAGCCAGCTAAGCTTTGCTCCCCATCTCATCTGGGAAACTGCACCTACTGCCACAGAGCTCACTAACTGCACCTCAGGGTGAGAACTAGAGCTGGACAAGGACTTTTTGGTCCATTGGCAATTTTGAAGAGAAACTTGTTTTGGGTTGAACTAAGTGTCTTGAATTTTAATAAGCTTCAAGGAAATTGAGAAAGGACATTGAAGTGTTTTGTTCAAACAGTGTTTGAGTCAGATTTTTTTTTTTAAAACAATGCAGCAAAACTGCCATGAAAGCTTCTCAGAGAAGATATTACCGCACCCACCCGGTCTTATGAATTTGTGAAACATGTTATTGAATTTGCATTTTCACTGAAAAAAGTTTGACAAAAAAATCACCCACATCTACTTATAACTAGGGTTACCATCTGTCTGGGTTTCCCTGGACACATCCAGCTTTTTCAGCTTTAAATGGCCGTCCGGGGGGATTTCTAATAAAGTAGAAATGTCTGGGATTTCCCCCTTTCCCTCATGCAGAGTGTGGCACGGCTGATTGGACGGCTGGGCCTGATTGAAAGCCGCTCACAGCCACTGGGGCCTCTAGCAGCCAGAGTCCCTCCCCCTCCCCCGCTCCCTTCTCCCCCACAGAGCAGTGTGGAAGTGTTTGGCTGCACGAGGAGCTCGCAGCTCTCCCTCAGCCTCATGCGGGGGCTGTCAGGAGAAGGGGGTGTAGAGAACGGTTGGGGCAGGCCAGGGACAGGGAACGGGGGATTAGATAGGGGGTGGGGTCCTGGGGCAGTTAGGGTGGGGAGGTCTCAGGAGAGGGCAGTCAGGGGACAGGTAGGGGGATTCTGAGGGGGGGCAGGAAGTGGGAGGGGGCAAGGCTAGGGCAGCACCCCGTGTCCTCTTTTTTGATTGTTGAAATATGGTAACCCTACTTATAACTCAGGGAAAGTGCCACCTACCTAGGGCCCCTAGGCCCTAACTAAGATCACAGCACCTTTGTGCTAGGTGCAGTACAGTGAGAGCCTCCTAGGCCCAAGTCACAGCTTGAGCCTGGCTGCATGGCAGCCATATTACCACCATACTGGTCTGCAAAACAATCCAATGTCACTGTTCGCAAGGCAGGAAGGACTACTCATGCTGACTTTCAACACCCCCTCCCCCCCATCAAAAATAAAAAAGGGATTCTTTTTGGCTTAATTGGCTTGTGAATTGCTTGTTGGCTAGTAGCTTTTTTTTTTGATTGGCTCTGGGCAAGGAGGGGAGAATCAGGGGTGCACAGCAGTCCCACCACAGTCCAGACTGCACGCTGGGGATCTAGTCAGAGTGTCGGGGTTCTTAGGGATTGGCTTGTTTTGAAATGGGATTAGCTGGATTTTTGGCTTATTGTGAAAGTCAGGGTGCTTATTTACCGTGTGAAAGGTGGCAGCTGTGCTCTCTTCTCCTGTAACATCCTTTATTTGTGCATTTGGAGAGACATCAGGATGCCTACATTTAAATCTTTTTCACTAAAAAGGTGTAATTGCATACCAGGCAGACTCCATGATCAGCCAGCAGAATCTCTACATACGAGAGAATTGTTGGTTGGGGTTAAGACATTGAACTGGGACCCTCAGATCATAATGGTCCCTTCTGACCTTAAGTCTATGATTCCCAAACTCTTCTACAGACTCCATGTTACTTTGGCCAAGTCCTTTCTCCTGTGCCTCAGCTCCCTCCCTCCCTCCGGGTAAATAATAATCCTTTGTCTATTTGGACTGAGTTAGAAACTCTGCACACTAGATGCTGTATCTCAGTGGTTTACAGTCTTGGTTTGTGGACCCCTACAAAATTTTAAAAGGCGGCAGACCCATTTGGAAATCTATTGTGTATATATTGCTGAATTCTATTCAGTCAGTTTTCAGTTTAAGTCTTTCATGGACCCCTCAATGTGCAGATCACATATTGAAAGCCACTGCTATATATATATATATATATATATTATATATATAACACAGTATCTAAGGGTTACTGTAATACAAGTGTAAAACAGATGTTAGATCCTCTGCACAGAGGAGAGAGTTAACCTTTAGCCACTCATTCAATAAAGAAGAGTCACTTCAGTCATCACTCCCCTTCCCATATTTAAAGGCCTCAATCTCTAATGCCTTTAGCCTCTCACCTCATGAGGCAGGGCAGTACTATTATCCCTATTGTACAGATAGTGGCAGAGACTGAAGGACTTGCCCAAGGTCACATGGGAGGTCTGAGCTGGGAGACCTGGGTTCAACTCCCAAGTCCTAAGATAGCTCCCTAAGCACACTACACCATCCATCCTTCCTCTCCAGGACAGCATGGAGAAGTGATACTGACTTCGCTCTTGAAGTCGAGACTAACAATCCATCCTGAGAATTGCCAGCATTCAGCTGTATAAGTGTTTTGCTAAATGCTAGCATACTTTTTATAAAGTGACTCAAATCTCAGTCTCCTGAGAATAAAGTCCTTTAGCTAGTGTGACTGTGGCAAAGACAGATTGGTAGTTTCTGGGGCTTTCAGAGGGACTCAACAGTATTCACTATTAAGAAGAGTCCTCAATCGATCATTCTAAGCAGCAGCCCTACTGCTATGCAAAGTATGTTGACACTATCTGATTTTTCCCCTCTCTTCATCCACAGGCCTCAGCACTTCACAAAGGAAGCACTCATTTTACAAATAGGGAAATTGAGGCACAAATGGGGGGGGGAGGAGGATGACTTCTCCAGGTCTCACAGTAGGCCAGGGGAAGAGCTAGGAACAGAACCCAAGTCGGAGTCCTAATCCAGTGTGCCTGCCCACTAGATTATATTGCCTGCCCTAAGCTCAAAAACTCAGACTAAATTTCAGAAGAGGTGGCATTGGTAAGCATCCTACAGCATTTACACTTCTTGCCCTTCTAGAGCACTTCAAATACAAAGGCTCCATATACCTGGTATCAAGAAAGGAGTGATGTGATGTACTCCAGAGTCAATTTGTACGGCAATAGTGCCTAAAGGGCCTGCACCAGCTGAGATCAAGATTGCCTCATTGTGCCTAGACACCCCTGACTTAGAGCTTGCAGTGTACAGAGAGTAGAGGGGAAACCAGACACAGGGGAAGGCACTTGTCACAGATCACAGCGAAGATCACTGGCAGCACTAGGAATAGGACCCAGGAGTCCACTCCAGTGACTAGAGCAAGGCAACTGGACTGTTACCTCCCCCAGATTCAAAGACAGAGCTTCTCAAGTTTTTAGTTGCACAGCAGAATGGAATCCCTTATGTCATGGGAGAATGACAGTTGCCTCCCCCTCCATGTGGCTGTGTACACGGGATTGGAGTGTAAGTACTCTAAAGTCCATTGCTCTGCTGATGAACTATTTACTCAGACTGGTCAAATGAGTTCAATTTACTGAAAACGGGAAGTAACCAACCGTGTAGTTCTGCAGAAGCCAAAGGGGAATTCTGTCCTTTAAGAGCAAACACTATGAACAAGCCAATATACCAACAGCTGCCAGTTGCTCTGGAGGAACCTCA